CTGGAGCGCCGAGGGATCCGATCCCATCAAGAGCCCCCAGAGGCCATGCTGCCTCTCTGAACCTGCCCCTTTGTCCTGCCTGTGGGCACCTCCATTGGCACAGCCTTGTGAGCAATTTGGTGGGTGACCTACATGGACGTCTGAGCCCGTCTGCTTTGTTACCTGGGAAGCCAGGTGGGAAGAATCTGAGATGGACCCTGTAAGGCAAGCGGGGCAGGAGCCGGTGGTTCTGGCCATTGAGTTCCTGCTGATTGTTCTCTTTGTTCCTCAATATGATGAGATGCGTTTCTTCAGGGAGTCCTGCAGAGTGTGGCATGGTTTCTCCGAGACACGATAAAGGAGTGCGGTTTGGGAATCTTGGTGCTGCAAGTCTGATTTGGGATGACGAATGGAAGCGCACGAAGTGGCTGGGAACATGTAGCCCTTGATACGATGCCAACTCAAAGTCCAAATCCAGTTTGGTTACTGGGGCATTCATCCATCCATCCATTTCCTTCCTTTTTGTACCTGGCGAATACTTGAAACAAGACATGAATGTGCCAGTGTTTTATCGAATGTCTCTGTGAATATAAACACAAGCTCTGTAGCTCCGAGTAGCTGACTGCACGTAATACATGTTGAGTGTGTACAATTGTCCAGTGGCACTGTGCATTTTTTTTTTCAGGCAGCACTGTGTGTCACGAGTAGCGGTGAAAAATTACTCATAATCATGTCTCAGGGTGATGAGGGTCCTGTCAAATGTGTAGAATGCTTCATTCAACCCTGAAAGCGTCTCATCTGTCCACACTTTGTCTTGCATGTGCACTTATGGGAATGGGACGCCCCCTTAAGTGGTCAGCAGGGTAAACCAGGTTTGGGACGCCCTTGTGTGAGAGGTGGTTGCTATGGCATGCCGTCCTCCTCCTCCTCCTCCTCCTCCTCTCCTTCTCTCTCGCTTTTGTCTTTCCTGTCAGCAGGAGTGCATGGGCGTGTGTGGGGTGTGCGTGTGTGCAAGTGAGTCACCGTCGAGTATCGCACGTAACGCGGGATAATTGCCGACGGGGCGGACAGAGGTATGGGGGGGGGAGGGGGTTGCGTTTGCCCATGGCTGAGTATGCGGAGTGCGTGATGGACGAAGAGCTGAGCTGCGTGGCAAAAAATGGCAGGATTTGCCCTTTCTAAACTACTACACATTATCACACCATTTTTACTGTGTGTGCTGCGGGAGTCACGTGACCAGGGTGGCTTCGTTTGGGAACGGCAATGGAGACGGCTTTGGGGAGGCGGTGAGGAGGTGTGAGGACTGACGACTCATCATCTGCTGTAAGAACATGGGGAACGGGAGCCCCGATTGGGTGTGGCGTGGGATACAGCGGAGATGCAAGCTTAGCCGCTGGGTACTAAGATGTGTTCTGGGGCGCTGGGTCAGTGCGGAACAGATCTGATGGCGGGATCCAAGATTTTCATGGGGGGACACCATGGCGTTACCTGAATATCGAAGTAAGGGGGTGTCTGTGGTAAAAGTTGTAATCGGGGGGCAGGGAAGTGGCTGGGGGTGGGCAGGGTGGCTTGAGGGGGCCATTTGGTCTGGCCCTGCTGGGACAGATGAGTGCTAACCCCAGTACCATGTCTAACTGGTAATCATACACTACTGAAGTGAACCAGTGACCTGCATCCAGGGAGAAAATTCGCTAAATTTAAAACCAGTCTAGCCTCATGTTTTCTGCTTGCACCCTGTTACTGTTTTGAAGAGGTACCTTGAAAGATGCGGGAGGCGTAATCCGAGCGACACCTTCTTTGTGGAGTCTAATTCAATTAACATCCGGCCTTTAACGAGCTGCTCGTTAATGCCTCACCCGGCAGCCCTAAAAGGAAGCGTCGAGATGCGACATGCCGCCGGAATTTCAATTAACGTGGAACCAACTCAAAAACAGAGCTAAATATTTATTAATTTCTTTTAAGGCTAATTAAATCACTCCACACACTCATAATGTATGAATTCATAAAAAAAAATTACAGCTTTACAATGCTGAAGTGTGTGGTAAGAATAAATAAATGGTTACTTCCTTAATTACCAAGAAAATGAGCAAACTAATCGGTCTTGACCCCATGAAAATGCCAGAGAAGGATTTAAAAATACAATGAACTTGACATCTTTGACTTTAAAGAGCATAAAATTGATACATTATGAAAATGACTGAGCATGGTTCAAAGGTCACAAAGGCCATTCAGAAGTTCCATGCATCCAGGGAGATAAGAGTGAACATAATTCATGCAGAGGGGCCGACCTTATCATTAGCCAATGATATGTTTTGAATTGTTGCGTGAAAGGGGTGGGGGGCACCCCGGGGGCCAATCAGATTTGAACTGGGGCCAGTGCCTTTGGATAGAAACATTGGATTCTGCAGGATGGCATTACGTAAGGGAATCAGTTAAAGAAACCAAAAATTTTTTCATTCTGCCTTGACTATTACACACTGGTGACGATAAGTAGCCTCATCACAGTCTGTTTCTTTCCATGTTATGCGGGAAACAGCATAACATGGAAACAGCACTTCTAATGGCTTAAAAGAAATGCTTGGCTTACGTGTGCGAGTATATTCTCCACTTTGCAATCTCACGTCTTTGGCAGGGTCCATCGAGAGCAATTTCCCCGTGCCGTGCGGAAACCCCTCTCAAAACCATTCTCTTAGCACTTAGCACTCACTACATTCGCTGCAGTGGATTATGGGAAGTGACCCGTGTTTACTACGCTGTCACATGACGCAGAGGATTTCAAAAGGCGCAGTGGGTATTGCATACATAAGCATGCGTGCCTCACATCGGCAGGCCCGGAAACACCCAGGTATTCCACTTATGCCAGAGTGTTCTTCACCTCACCACGGGCGTAATGGAGAGTTAGGCAGCTTCTGCCAGCTCACAGATGCATACAAGCGTAATTGTGTGTGACTGATCATGTGGTTATAGCAGGAACGGCAATCTCTGCATGACGATGAGCAAATGCCAGAGATATCACGGTACCAATGATGGCGGAGCCCTGCCCACATGTGTTGGGTTTCTTTCTGGTCACGTTTAACCATGTGGAACTTGTGAGGTGAGGTGGCCATAAATGTAGGGAGGTGCATCCTGTTGGGTAGAGAGTCAGGGCTTGTGGCATAAACCACGAGAACCTCTCAAAAGAAAGACCCGCCACCCTCTAATATGATCATTACCATTTCATTGTCACCCATGGGGAGGTCATCTGCTTTGATGTCTGTAACCACTGGGGGGGGGGGGAGTTGTTGGTGCTGCCAAGAAGATGACCGTTTTTTTTTTTTTGAGGGGGCCAGCATTTCCCACAATATATCTCCTGTTCATTCCAGCACTGCTAATCAGCAGAATTAAATCCGGTTTGTGTGTGTGTGTGTTTGTGTGTGTGTGTTGGGGGGGGCATTACCCACTGAGAATACACCACATAGGCTTTGAAGACCCCTGATGTGGCGACAAGGTGCAGGCGGGGAAAGACCTGTGTCTTTGTTATCGACGCGCATGATGGGTGGCTGCTGTTAGTCTTCTGGAGTATTCCGGCACCTTCTGGCACCTGCAAGCTGAGCGGAGGCATTGTCCCATCCTCTGAGCGGCCGCCTCCCCCTCTTCCTGCACTACGAGTGGGGAGGAGTGTCTCACAAAAAAACCTTTGGTCTGTAAAACCTAAATCCAGAGGGGTGGGCGGATTCCCACACAGCCGTGATGAATTTGCATGTCTTTCACGCTCTATAAAGCGATTGATTCCACCAGCACAGAAAAGCAACGAGCGCAACTGGAACCAAACTTTAGACTCCCTGGGAAGCTTTGCTCACCATCACTGAGAGCTCACCAATGACTAATCACTCCTGCTAATTATTTATTAGCCGATCCCTTGGCTCTGTGCAGTAGACTATATCCCTCTATCGGTCTCCTGTTTTTCACACTATAGTTACCACAGGAGACAATCACATCAAAAAGTTATTTAAGTGAATAGGCTACAGCTTAACAGAAATCCATTTTCTTTGACAAAACGGGGAAACACACAGCATGTTTTGCATATAACCTGATTTTCTTCATCTGTTTTCCAGAACTGCTTTTCCAGTTCGCGGTTGTGCTGAGCTTAGAGAGTATCCCAGAATGCACAGGGCCGGATTCAAGGTTTAAGGCTCTTTTATTATCCGGTGTGTACAGTACAATGAAAGTTGTACCTGTGTGCTTCCTATGGATGATAGTTAAATAAACGCAACAATATATACAGCAGCTGTCAACAAATAACAGATGACAGGGAAAGGCAGCAGTAGACAAACAAACACTTAGCATTTACATGTACACTGGAGGCAGAGCCAGGGGGATATAGTGCCTGTTAATTGTGACAGGATTCTGTGCGTAATTAGCTTTTGCTGAGGAGCTTGGTTGCCCATGGGGGAGCTTGGTTGCCCATGGGGGAGCTTGGTTGCCCATGAGGGAGCCTGATTGCCAATGGGTAAAATGTGAATCTCAGCGCCTGATGGGATGCTGGTTTGTCACGGAGCACATCCTCACACAGCAGGGGGAAATTAGCCCAGCTGTGCAGTTCGGGCCCCTGTTTAAACCACTGTGGGGGTCAGTTATATGTAAACACGAAGGCGACACGCTAATTTCATGGCGTGGGAAGCAACTGCTTAGTGAGCCCTCGTACCTCTTTATTATGGCATTATCCTGGGTTTATGTTGATGTTCCTGCCCCCATAGGGCCCCATGCTGTCTGCGGATCTGCCCAGGCATGAGACAGCAGCGTGCCCACATCACCCGCGGGCTCAGGGGCAGCCGGAACCCGGCAGTAGAGGCGTGGCATCACCGTATAACGTCATACTGGCTAAATCGCAGACTTTTAAAATCTCGTCGTCGCTAGGAGACGCGCGGCAGTCGACGGTTACGTCCCGCGAAGGACCACGCTGGGGAGCCGGGGGGTGAAACGGTGTGAAACGCTTTATCTCACTTTCCCTTTGCTGATCAGACTTTCTTTTTATCTTTCAGGAGCGGTTTTTCCACGTGTCGCCCTTCCTGTCCTCCTCCCTCAGAGGGAACTCGGGGACCAGCAGGAGCTGCTGTCATCTTCCCAAGTGAGGGGGAGCGAAAAAAAAACAAAACAATAAAACAAAACAAAGTCACTCGTTCATCTGCCTTTGATGCTTCCCGGACAGCCAATCAGGGAACGGGGCCCCGGCTCGGCAGCGAGGCGGCGGCAGTGGGGGGTGGCCCATGTTCCGAGAGCTGGGGGGGGCACAGAGGAGTGAGTGAATTTACCAAGAGGAAGAAGAAGACAGAAGGAAAAAGAAAGTCATTCAAATTTTAACGCGCGTGTTTCATATCAGAGCATGCGGGAGGAATACGGCAGTCTTTGTTCTTCTGAGAAACTCTGAAATTAACACATCAGACAGTTTTTATTCCCCTCCCCTTTCCTTCCCGGCTAAAAAGGATTAAAAGTTGGATGTGAGTCGGGTGGTGGCCGCCATGTGTCGCTCGTGGGGGCTGGGCACGGGGCCGGGCCTCGCCCTGCTGGCTCTCTGCTTGCTGTCGGACGCGTTGGCGGGAAAAGCTAAAGGCCCCGGGCACACGCACCTGAACTCCATCCGCATCGACGGCGACATTTCGCTGGGGGGGCTTTTCCCGGTGCACGCGCGCGGAGCCGGTGGCAAGGCGTGCGGCGAGCTGAAGAAGGAGAAGGGCATTCACCGGCTGGAGGCCATGCTGTTCGCGCTGGACCGCATCAACAACGACAACGCCCTGCTGCCCAACATCACGCTGGGCGCCCGCATCCTGGACACGTGCTCGCGCGACACGCACGCCCTGGAGCAGTCGCTCACCTTCGTGCAGGCGCTCATCGAGAGGGACGGCACCGACGTGAAGTGCCTGGGCGGCGGCCCGCCCATCATCGCCAAGCCCGAGCGCGTGGTGGGCGTCATCGGAGCCTCCGCCAGCTCCGTCTCCATCATGGTGGCCAACATCCTGCGGCTCTTCAAGGTACCCGTGCTTGCCCTTCTCCTCGGCCTGCCCTCACACGACAGGCCGACTCAGACCAGGTCTTCGATCGCACATTATTATTTCTTATTTATTTATTGGGCATCACAGGTGGGTAGATCAGGTCCAGAGAATAAAAGTCCAGACTAAGATTTTGTTTCAACCACCCAGTTGAATCCTCTGCGTCGGTGACTATTTATAGCTGCTTGGTTGAAACAAAATCTTAGTCTGGACCTTTACCCTCTGGACCTGATCTACCCACCCGTTATGACCTTTACCCTCTGCACCTGTACTAACCACCTCCGGGTAACATCACTTTGTGAGACACTTCAACAGTCAACTAAAAACTCATATCTGGATGTGGTCGGCGATGGTTAAAATATTGATTTCCATTAAGCGGCGATGTCATAAAGTGTTTTTTTATGGCCATTCTAAGTAAAATTTTGCTCAAATTATTGCTCAGATTATTATGTTTTAATTATTTATAGTTGGTTAATTGAAATCATTGATGCACTGAATTCTGGGTAGTCGTAAACTGGAATAACGTATGATTTTCTTGGAAACAGCAGGTTTTAAGTAATATTCAAGCGATTCTACATATATATAGTAAGAAAGAAATATTCTTCGCACATTTAATATAATGTGTGAAAAGCCCATCCCGTGGTGGATGATGAAGGGTTCGCAATTTGATCTCCATTAAGATTGTAAGGTTTAGCTGGAGGCAGAGAGGTGAATGCTGGCGCCCCCAGAGTCTGTAGAGGGAATGGCGGGCGGTGAGTCTGTGCGGGAGATGTGTCACGAAGGCAGCAGGCCGCACAGGTCACATGAGAAATAACTCATGCGGGAAAATCCTGCTGAGGATTGTGTTTGCGGCGCTGGTGTCCCCCTGTGGCCGCGATGTCAAACTGAGCTGGGATCTTAATGGTGTCTTGGGGTTGGGGCGGCTTTGTAAACACGAAATATGAAAATCAAGCACCATTTGCCTGTGCCGCCTTTCTGCACCTTCACTGCTGTCTTATACACTGTAAAGCCTTCAGCCCTTGGACAAAGGATAGAATTATAATGCACCGGTGAACAAGCATTACCAAAATATACATTTTATTATTATGTCAACAGTGCGTACTTGAAAATTTAATGAACTGACCAACTGAAGGTGAACTGCCTTGATATTTATGTTAAACCAGCAAAAGACCTTTTGGGTTCACTTAATTTAGCTCATGGTAACTTGGATTTTTATGCTTATTCCTTTACACGTGCATTTGCAATTGCACGTGCATTTACATTTACACGTGCATTTACATTCACACGTGCATTTACATTTGCACGTGCAGAACATTTTCCTGTTTGCCTCTCATGTTGTTATTTTTCTGTTCTGTGTTGTGAAGGAGAAGAAAATTAGGTATTTTTTAGTACCTTTCAGCCATTAAATTTATACATATCATGGCAGTGCACAATATAAAGAATTTTTTTCATATTGCAACAGCAAAATAAAAAATATATCATTTATCAGTGTCTAATTGTCAAACCTCTACCATTTAAAACGAAATTTAAAGGAATTTGTGATTCTGCAACTGAAAAAAGCATTTCCTAACAGCCTCATTGATTTCAAGAATATTAAATAATATGCTATTTTACTTAATACTTTTAACTAAACTTTTATGATGCCAGTGATAACGTTTGTAAAACTTCAGATGTCTGCCTGATTTGCTTGGGATGATGTTGGTTCCCCGCGTAGACCGGGCCTGGCGGCTCAGGACGCGGTGCCGGTTCCCCGCGTAGACCGGGCCTGGCGGCTCAGGACGCGGTGCCGGTTCCCCACGTAGACCGGGCCTGGCGGCTCAGGGCGCGGTGCCGGTTCCCCGCGTAGACCGGGCCTGGCGGCTCAGGACGGGGTGCCGGTTCCCCGCGTACACCGGGCCTGGCGGCTCAGGACGCGGTACCGGTTCCCCACGTAGACCGGGCCTGGCGGCTCAGGACGCGGTGCTACGTCGCTCACCGCCCCCTTAGGAGTAAATCCTCACTGTAGATGTGCTCTGCAGGGGTCTCAAAAAGGGCCCCCAGTCAACCCTTTATCGGCAAAATCATACAGGGGCGTCTGACTCAAATAGCCCAGGGGGGCTTTGACTACGAGAATGTGCCCCCGGTTCTGTATAAGGTCCTAGATAAGATGCTGAAATCAAATAAAAACACGTTTCTCATCTTCCTATACTGTACTGCAGATCTGCACGAAACAGGCATAGGTCTTTGAATGCTGTGATATATTCATTTATACAGCTTCTGTTCCCCCTAAATCAGTGCGTTTTGTGTACCTTGTGAGACTCTACTAAACCCTGTTTCAGGAAATTATTCTCAAACGCGTGTGAGCAAGAAAAATCTATTGCAGCAAGCAGTGTAACAGGCATCGCTTAATTTCTGATGTTTTGAGTGTGTATCATTTCAGTAATACCAAAATCTGACGGTTTAAAAAAAAAACAATAATTGGTCCATTTACGTATCAAGGAAGTACAAAAATGAGTTGCTAAATGACCCACTGCTACAACAAATATACACGAAACCCACAAATAGTCATGCTATAGTAGTGATGTGCTGTAGACATGAAAGAAAATCCTCCTTTGTTAGTGTTTTTGTTAGCATTTACTAACTGCTTTATGAGTAGATAGGTTAGCTCAAAATCCCTTGGTAATTTTTGGCTCATTTTACTTATACGAAAATGGAATGGGGGAATGAAAAATGATCGGTTCAGAGAGATAACCAATCAGATTGTAGAGAAAATGGGTCTAAGCCAGCGGTGGCCAATCTAATCCTCAAAGGGCCGGTATGTGTGCAGGTTTTAGGGTAACCTTTAGGTCAGCTGTTCAAACCCAGGTGTGAGGACTCCTCAGCCAATCAGTCCACTAATTAGTAATACAATTAGGGAGCTGCAGCAAAAACCCACACACACATCGGCCCTTTGCGGATAAGATTGGCCACCCCTGGTCTAAGCAACTAGAGGAGGCGGGACCATCCAATAAGATGTCTTGGTCCCTAAGATGTCTAGGTCTTTCATTCTGCCCTCAGAACATTTTTGTATAAGTAAAACTCCCACGAGTTCATTTCTGCTTCCACATCTCTTGCCTTGTGGCTCAGTGGCTCTCCTATGCCCTCTGAAATACAGACTACACAGAAATGATCTGTATTACCTCAGCTTTAGCACGATTTTAGTACCATGCATGATCATTCTTTCATCTGGGTCCAGTGCATAATCATTCCTTTATTAAGGTCTTCCCAGAGATGTGGCCCCTCTCGCGTTCTGGAAGCCGTGCCGGTATTTCAGGGTGTATTTGTGGCTTGTGCTGAGGACGGCGGTGCCAGAATCCATGTTGAAAGCGTCCGGCTGTTTGGCCCGTCGCCCTTCCGCTTTTTGCTTAGCTGCCCCTCCCATGGTGGGCTGTTGACTCTGCTGGTGACTCTTGAATACCTGGTGAATGGGGACGGTGGAGGGGGGGGGGGGCATGCACGGAGTGCCGTAAGGGCTGAAGGTCTACCTGCATGATCGTGCAACTAACCAATCAGAGGGGAGTGAAACAATGCAGCAGTTCATGTCGCAGTGAGCAGTGGGACGGAAAGATACCAAGGAAGACGGTGCTCGAATAGGGGGTCCTGAATGGGCAAGGAAATGTCAAATACAAAAATTGGAAACTTTATTCAAACAATATGATAATATGAGACATTATTTAACATGCAAGTTACACACGGTAGGTTTTAATGTAAGATCCTGATCAAGTTAAAGATACCAAATGTTCTTCATTCTATAAAAAAAAGCTAATTTTGGGTACCTGTGGACAGAGGGGGCAGTTCTAGCCCCTCCCTAGGTGGTCCTAAGGCGACTTTGCCCAGATTGGGCCACATGACAGTATACACACGGTCCCCATAATGGGCACTGGGAGAAACCTTTACTGCCCCACTAAGGATTTCCGCCTCTGACTGTGGGTTAGTTGCTTTTGGGCCCACTTTTCCAGGTCCGATGGACCCCACAGCGCCACGGTTTGGGCCCTCGACTGCCAGCCATATGGCACAGAGAAACCTGGAGGGCATTCAGGGCACGTTGGAGCAGTGCGTCTTATAACAGCAGGAGGCGGTAGTCAGGCTATATACTGAATAATAAAAAGGTGAATGTTTTAATGCAATGGCATGTAGGGCAAAGAATTATATCCTATTTACCTATTTACTGTTTTCTTCATGGTGCTATGTTTAAAAAACTGACAAATGTATAACGTTTACCATCCATCCATCTTCCGTGGCCGCTTATCCAGTGCAGGGCCACGGTGAAGCTGCAGACTCCCCCAGGAAGGTCACAGTACGAGGCAGGGGACACCAGATGATGACAGGGTGCTTCCCTTTAAAATGCAAATGGTAGCTGCTGCATGGGAATCATCTGGCCAGCATCAAACCCACAATGTGATGGGTGAGGTGAGCAGGTCCATCACAATCCTGCAGATTCTGGACCAGCGGGGTGGCCTTTGTCTGCACCCCCCCCCAGGGCTTCAGTGCCCCCCCACGCCCGCGGGCTGATGCCGGGCGTCTCCCCATCAGACCACAGAAGCGGCTGTTCTGCAGATATTCCGTTCAGCTCCAGTGATCTCTCATCTCCAAAGCCTGCGTTTCTCCTTTTTATTATCCAGACGAAAACCCCCTGCTCCCCCCCCCCCCCCACCAACCCACCCTGTCTGCTGGCAATTATCTCCAGTTTGAAGTCCGGGCAGGAGCGCCGATTGGCACCCCCGATCAGCATTCCGGCACGTTCCGCCTGGTGCCGCTGTGTTCCGCCGCGCCTAAGGCCCGGGGTGTCGATAATGCATTATGCCACGGCCGACGGGGAGGCTCGGGTGGGAGGGTGGATGGGCATCCTGCGGCAAGGCTGCAAATCACCACCCGGCGTGGCAGACGGCGGCGTTCCGGGTGGGCGGGGCCAGGACTGCACGCTAAAAGCCGGATTAATGGACGTTCGGGGATAAATATTTTCC